CATGGCTATCAGCCATTCTGTGAGGAATGCAGCCATCACCCATATGACAAAACCCAGGGAGGTACCAGAGACTGTCAGGGACATCAAGTCCTGAAAGGAACAGGTCCCCGACCCTTTCAAGGATGAAAGAGTGGACTCAAGCCCTCCCAGTCAAGTGCAGTCCAGTCCAGTCTGTGGATGTGGGCCTATCGTGGGTAGCTCCTTCCTGGTTGATTGGAGTCTAATTCTGCATTTAAATATATTCTGCCAGCCTTGGGATCTTTGGATGGATTTGGTAACACAGGCATAAAGCAAAGATCAAATTGGATACAGAATGTTCTGGAGGGAGCTGAGTATTTCAGAGCCAGTATCTTTCAGCACTGCTGGAGATTAATGTCACATTATCAGAAGCAACAGTGCTGACATTATCTCCTCCCTGGGGCACTGCACTTACAAAAATGGAGAGAGCTTGCTTGAAATGAGACCACTGAGAGGGAGCATAGCTTGGTGGTGGTAATTAAACATTACTTATGTGTACCATGGTAACTTGGAGTCCTCTGTACTTTAGCTCCAACCCAATGCTTCTAAGGACATTGGAAGATCTAGTTAAAGAGAAGTGAAGCCTGGGCTCCTGGCCATATGACTTGAAAAAGTGATTTAACCTTGCCACATCCACAGACTGGGCTAAATATAAGAGCAGGTGCTCTTCTACCCACAGGAGGCTACAGATGAGCCCATCATAAACTGAAGTTGATAATGTATGTAGTACACTTGATATCATAAATATGGCAGCTTAGTCTCACCTACCTTAGAGTAAGTGCTCAGGGATTGGTGCCATCCCACAGTGGAGCAAAGTCACATAATACAAAGACCATTTTATTATTAAATGTTGAATAGCTTAGGTAATAGTTGTAGAGGTCACATTAAAGTATAGTTTCCACTGAGAGCTTGTGGTTTTCACACCACAGATTTGCAATGTCAAAAGTCAAATCATCACCTTTTGGTGGCCACTGGTATAATCATGCCTATCTTACAAGGTGTGATGACTGTCATCCAGTTGGCTCAAGAAGCACCTAAGAGATAGAAAAGCACACCTGTGTGTTCCTGTAGGGTATTTCCAGAAACAATTACATAACAAGGGCCCTGAAGCAATCAACGGATTAATTCCAGAGGGACTCATAATATTCTGGCATCATTGGAAAGTGGTGACATGTAGGAGGTGGAGCCTGGCTAGAAGAAGTAAGTCACTGGAGGACTGTCCTTGGGAGTTACAACATGCCCTGGTCTCTTCCTGTAAGTTCTCTCTGTTTCCTGGCCACCATGATGTGAGCTGTTCTGCTCCATCATGCCCTTCTTGCTATAATGGATTGAACCCTCTGTAACCTTGGGCCAAAGCAAAGCTTTTCTCTCCTAAGTTGTTTCTGTCTGGCATTTTGTCACAGCAGCAAAAAAAAAAAAGCTAACTCATACCTAAGGTAATTATGAAGATGAAAGGACATGTGAATGCTTAGAGCACTCTGGACACATAGCTCTCAGTATCTATCAGTATGTGTACACTGACACACACATTTTTAAAGCCTTGGGTTGTTTCTCAGCCTTCTGGTCAAGCTCTAACACAGCCTGTTCTCATTGGGCTAGCATGTGGTATGGCCTTGGTCTTGGGACTACAGTAGAGCTGGCTCCATTCTGCCTCCATAGATTGGACAGTCCCCTCTCAAGAGTTTGCTGGGATTCCTTCTGGGTTACTATATTTCCTGGCTTCAAACATAAAATTCAGAGTAGGGACTGGGGAGTTGGTTCAATGGTAAAGATGCCTGCTATATAAGCATGAGAACCTGAGTTTAGATTCCCCAGAAATTCTCCCACACAAAAAGCCAGGCATGGCAGTTTATTGCCTGTAATCCAGTGCTAGGTGGAGATGGGGGTGGGAGAGACAGACGGATCCCTGGAGCTCACTGGACAGCCAATCTAGACAAATTGATGAGCTTCAGATTAGTGAAGACCTCATCTCAAAAAAAAGATGAAGAGCAATTGAGGAAAGACACCTAACATTCAGATATATATATATATATATATATATATATATATTGCACTCAACACACTGTACCACCACCACCACCAAAAACCAACCATAAAACTCTGAGGTGAGAAAGATTTATTTTATGAATATTTTAAGCTTAATAGCATTAAGGAGAAAGCTAATCACAAAGAACTTTAAAATATTCTGTCACTGTAAAGCATGGAAAAGCATAAAAGCAAAACTAAGCCCTAGTCTTGACCAGACAGAAAAAGTAAAAACTAAAGTGTTAATGAGGAAAAAAGAAATGAAATGCTGGACCCTGAAAGGAGAAACCCACAGATCCAGCAGCGACCAAAACACCATGAGTAAACAGAGCAATAGCTCTATGCTGCTGGAGGAAGAAAAAACAGAATACCTTAAAGCAAAAATGTATAGTACTAAAAAGTGATTGCAGAAACAGAAACCCCAGTTGGGTATGGTGGGGCATAGCTGAGATGGGAGGATTGCTCAAGGCTAGGAGTTCAAGGCTAGCTGGGGCAGCAGGGCCACAGGCCACCTCAGAAAAGCACAACAAAAGAAATAGAAACCCTGGATGCATCTAGAATCACTAAAGATTAGTAATTTAAAAAAACATCAAGCAAGGGACTGGAGAGATGGCTCAGTGGTTAAGAGCACTGGCCGCTCTTGCAGAAGTCCTGAGTTTGAATCCCAGCACCCACATGGCAGTTAACAACTGTTGTAACTCCAGTTCCAGGGGATCCAACACCCTCTTCTGTCCTCCTCAGGCACTCCATGACATGGATATACTTACACACATGCAGGCATAATACTCATACACATAAAAAAAGAAAACCATTGAGCAAATGATTTTATTGAGCATTCTACCAAATAGTCAAGGATTAGAACAACTCCATCTTATACAAATTCAAATTGCCTTTGGGTGGGGAGAACTAACAACGGGATCGCAGAGATGGGAAAAGGAGCCTGTTAGGTGGTGAATTTCCTTTACTTACACATATGTCTTGGGGTGACTGCATGCATGTGTCTATGGGTTCATGTATACATGTGTGTGCAGGTGTGTGCATGAGACTGTGACGAGAGGTGGAGGCTCAAAGGAGCTGAAACTACAAGGGTGGACTCTGTAAAGTGCAGTCATGGCACGCCTGATGTCTCACCCCGTCACAGATCACAGATCGACAGTCCCCCAACCCCTGAAGTGCATATGGGGTGTCTTATTGATCTTTAGAAGGGTGGATACCAGGCTTTCTGCATGGCCACACAGACTGCAGCCCAGCAGACTGCAGCACACAGACTGATGCCCACCGTAGCAGAGGAGAGTGGAAGCCTCTGGTCCCCTAATCGACTTACACAACAAACTGACTTTCTCAGCTGTGTCTGTCAGTGGGACCAACATCTGAGTGAAAGTTTGCTTCTTTTAGACTATTGTGGCCCAACAAATTTGGGTTTTGTTCTGTAACTCATAGTCCCTGATTTCTCACTTCCCAAACATAGTACTAACAGTGTGGGTGTTGAAAGAAAAACAACAATTAGAAACTCAATGAAAATTTCCAGTAATGGTAACAGAGTCAACAAACTGCAACAAGAGGGACTCAGGTTTGACGGCAAGGAAATTTTAACTACAGACTTGAGAAACACTGACATACACAGCAGAAGAAATTGTAAAATAACCTTTTTTTCTTTGCCAGCTTTAAGGGCAGTTTGCTCCAATCTCCCAAGACTTGGGGCTGTGCTAATTGAGGCAGGAAAGCAGGCAGCACAGAGGCCCAAACCATGTTCCAAAGCACTTGTGGGTTCAGCCTGAAGATGTGGCAGGTTGAAGGGGACAGGGGAATGGGTGGTACAAAGCAAGGCCATAGGAAAGATGTCGCCTTTCTTTGAAAAAAGCACATTTGACAGTGAATGGCTTCAATGGCTGTGTGCAGAAGGGGGCTTTATATATATCGCGCGGGAGGGAGCCCAGGAACTGAGTGGGAAGAAGCCAGATCCACGCCTGATTTCACCTGTCATACTGATCTCTCAAATCCACACGTGAGGCCTCTGAAAATACCCAAGAAGATCACACAAGACAAAAACCAGAGAGACCGGGAAAAGAATGGGGAAGACAGGAAATGAGGTTGAGAGTGAGGAAGGGAAAATGAGGTGAGGTGGGTGAGGAGAGGAGGAGAGGAGCTAAGGAGAGGAAGGAGGGAGATGGGACAGGAAGACATCCAGGAAGCAGACCGAAATGAGCATGCTTCAGAAGAGGCGGATGGACAGCCACTCTGTCCAGTGAGCAGTGGATAGGGCTGCTGTTGATACAGAGATGGCCATCCCCCTTCCTAATGTTATTCCCTGAAGTCCTCCAGTAGCAGCTGGAGGCAACAGTGAAGGATACGTACCCCCGTAGAAGGAGGATGGAGTCTCCAAGTTCCATGCTTCAACAAGCATCAAGCATTCACAAGTTAATCTCCTGTCCCCACAAGGCAAGCGGGTATGGGTAAGGCAGGTTAGAGGAGGCTTAGAGTTCTCTAAAGGACCATGGTACCTCCCACATCCTTAATGCAAGTTCTTTATCTATGAAACATAGTGATATTTCTAAACATGTCTCCCTCACTTTGGCCTCTCCAGCCCATAGAGTATATAGCAGCCCATAACACCATGGGGGATCCATAGTTCATCCTTTGCTTCCTCCCCTCACATTCTGTCTTCTATTATAACACTACCTGCCATTATGTAACCTCAGGACTGCATGAGGGAATGGTTTAGTTATAAAGATAACCCTTGCTGGGTGTGGTGGCACACGCCTTTAATCCCAGCACTCGGGAGGCAGAGGCAGGAGGATCTCTGTGAGTTCAAGGCCAGCCTGGTCTACATAGCGAGTTCCAGGACTGCTGGGGCTACAGGGAGACCCTGTCTCTCAAAAAAAGACCAAAAAACAAAAAAAGATAACTCTTGTTTCTCTCCAGGCAGTAAGCCCTCACTCAACAGGCACATTCCTTACCCTCAACCATGGTTCCCAAGTGGGGGATCATCCTATTTGCCCCTTTTCAGCTGGTGCCATCTCATGAGATCTCTGCCAATGCTTCTCAAACTCCTGAAATGACAGGGCAAATTCTGTGTTTAGTACAGGACCATGCATCCCTTGGAGAAGCCAGGAAACTGCATTCTTCACAGCACATATGCAACCACTCACTGCTTTGGGTAACATGAGGCTTTGGGACCCTGTGGAATTACTCATGGCTGCACTGACCCCTGGTTAAGAGTTCCTATTTCAGGGACATTTTACATTTATTCCAGCCAGCAGTTTAACTGCATCACTGTGGTTTGTGCTTTCCCCTAAAGTGTCATTGCCCTGTAAAATGCAGTCTCCCAGTGCAGGGTTCTGACAAGACAAATGAAAACATAATAGTTTTTCAGAATTGGCTCCTCTTCCTTATCTCGTCCTCCATTAACAAATCAGAGAGCTATTTGAGAACATCACACCAGCAAATGCAAGAACCATCTCTTCTAACTCAGACCCAAGACTGGGTCTTATCTATCCCTCTTGTTTCCGGGAAAGGTTCTTTCTGGGGGCTGCTCTGCATATCTCCCCCCTCCCGTGTTCTGAATCCCACTCACCCAGAACAGGGGGAATGACTATCCTGATCAGCTCTCTGCCATGCCCTGCTTTCCTCCCAGACGCTCCTTTCTCTACACAGAAACAGAAATGGCAGGTGCTCTCTCAGCCCTATGACCCCAGCCCACTACACACCTGTTTCTCACTCTATGACCCACATTTCTGGAAGAGGGTCTGTTATAGTGACTTCCCATGTTAGACTCACGGGCCTCATGGTCCATGCATCTCAGTGTCCTAAGCACACCTGGCTTTTGTCCTTGTGCCAGACAGAACACCCTTCCAAAAGAAGCCTCTCTGCCTTGTGTTCTGATCATTCAATCTGCTCCTCCTTGCCCCACCCCATGAAGGTTGCCCTTTAATCCCCTGGCACACTCCACAGACTCATAGGCCCTATTTTGCTACATCCCAAACTTCCAGCCTGTCATCTATGACTTTGGTTGGCTCCCTAAGTTAGAAAAGTGTTCATCAGTTCAGCTTAGGTTGGTGCCACCATGACAGAATCTATGAAATGCTAAATGTGTCAGTTGTTCATTCTCTGCATAGAAGGACACATTTTAATCCTCAGTAAAATCTGGTTTTCCAGCAAACTTGGGCACAAAGTAGTCCCTCCAAATTCTGTTTCCCTAATTTTTTTTCAGTCTTTTTGAGACAGAGTCTCCCTGTAGCCCCAACTGGCCTAGAACTTGCTGTGTAGACCAGGTTGGCATTGAACTCAGGATCCACCTGCCTCCACCTCCTGAGTGCTGGAATTAAAGGCATGAACCACCATGCCTGGCTAATGCTATTTTTTGTTTGTTTTGTTTTTTAAAGCGCTTCTGCAGTGACTCTGCATCTGGCTGTGGATTTGAGTTCATCACGAGCACCAGCCACCCTCTGCCTTTCAGAAGACAGCTATGATAAACAGACAGAAGTAACAGATCATGTGGCAGTGGGGTTGAGGTTGGCATCAGCAAAAGTCAAACCCTTCAAATGCAGACCCAGGGGCCATGTCTGAATGAGCCGTGACTTCACCGTTCTGTTTCAGAAATATGCAGTTTTCCTGTTCTAACACATAAGAGCCAAGAACCACAAAGAATTTGTCAACCAAAGATGCTCAGTGTGTGTTATGGTTTTTGGTATGAAATGTCCCCTTAAAATGCATATGTTGAAGACTTTGTCTCCAATACACAGGTATGCATAGATATACAGACACTTGGACACATACACACACACATATACACATGAGCACAAAGACAAAGCCATATCAACACAGACATATAGATATGCAAACACATGCAAACACAACACATAGACATACATGCACACACAAACTCAGATGGACAAACACATACACACATGTTCACACAGACACACACACAGACATACACAGACATACATGCTCATATGGGCGTGCACATATACACACACAGGTACACAGATACATATATGCAAAGTGTGCATTCATATGCCTATGTAAACACACACATCCCCATGTACATTTAGGCATTTGTGCATGTCTATATGCCTACAGGTTTTAAGAATATCGTGTTTCAGAATAGCTGTAACTGCTAATTCTGTTCCAGCATATAGGAAGAGGAGTATAATTAGTATATTTGTATGTAAATGTACTGTTAGGGCCATTTTTTTCTCTCTGAAGTGGTTATTTACATCAGCATTCTTTCTCTGGAGCCTAGAGAAGAGAGACTTTGGGCCAGCCTCACTGCATCTGAGGAGCTGTGAGCAGTGGGGGGCAACAGGGCATCACAGTTCCAGGAACACAGCCCCTCTCCTCCCACCATCCCAGCACATCTTGAGTGTCCCTCTTCCCTAGATGCCTCTCCTCTCCCGTGAACAAAAGCCTGTAGAGTCTTGAGCCCCTCAAGGCCTCACATTTGAGAGCCTTGGTGCCTAGCTGCCATGTCCTGGCCTCCTGCCCCACCAGGAGTCAAAGCCCTCACTGGGCTAGGGCAACTGCCTACTTATGACACTGTCCTACTTGGCTGTCGACCAGTGAGCAGACTGTTTAGAGGCAGAGATGCTAACAGTGCTGAAGAAACTGAAGCTTTGATTTGGAATTCTTATAGTTGCTTAGGGAAAGGTCCACTTCTGCCCGTCAGTGGGTGGGAAGTGTGTCCCCAAAGATGCTATGTCCTGTACAAGAAGGGTACTCATGTGTATGAGCAAGGTGTGAAGATGGGAGACTGGGGACCAGTGTTACTACACACTGAGATTCAAGGTAGATGTGCACCAAAGGCCAGGGGTGGACACAGATCCATTTAGGGTCGAGGTATGGGGTAACACAGATCTACTGAGGTTGAGGGGTAGGTAAAGATCCACTAAGGGTCAGGGTGGACACATCCATGACAGTCAGGGGTGGCAACAGATCCACTCAGGGTCAGGATATGGTGTGACACATATCTACTGATGTTGAGGGGTAGTTACAGATCCACTGAGGGTCAGGGGTAGACACAGGTCTACTGAGGGTCAGGGTGGACACATCCATGGTAGTCAGGGGTAGACACAGATCCACTTAGGTTCAGTGATGGATATAGAATCATTGAAGGCCAGGGGTGTACACATGCACTGGGGGTTCATCCATGGTCAGAGTAGATAGAGAGCCACTGAGGACTACTGAGGACCAGGGCAGACATGGAACCACTGAAGGTCAGGGGTGGTCTGAACAGACTGCATACCCTTCCAAGCCTCTGCTCTCAAGAGTCTCTGCTATGGTCAGTAACCTATTCCTGGAAGGAGGCTAGAACTCCACCAGCTGAAGTTAGTTGCCCAGCACCCACAGATTAGGCCAACTTCCTCAGAGATAGAAGCAAATTCCAGTACTATGCAGAACATGAGCAGAGGCCAGAACACATTCTAGACAATTAAATTTTACTTTAAAAATTTGTTTATCATTATTGTTATGTGTGTATGTGGGTGAAAGTGAAGTGTATATATATGTTCATGTGGATGTGTACACATGTGATTGCATGTGGTGTGTGTGCTAATGCCTTTGGAAGCCAGAGGTCAGTGTTAGGTGTCAAATATCTTCCCTGATCACTCTCCATCTTATTTTTTGAGACAGGGTCTCTCACTGAACCTGGAGCTCATTGATTTGTCTAGGCTAGTTGGCCTATGAGCTCCAGAGATATGCTGTCTCTATCCCCCTCCCAGCACTGGGGTTACAGACATGTGCCACTGTGATAGATTTTTTTTTAAATTTAAGTACTTTAATAACTAAACTGATAAAATTCTCAAACTAAACCACTGTGATAGCTTTTATGTGGGTTCAGGGGATCTGAAATCAGGTCTTCATGCTTATGAGGCAAGCATTTTACCAACTGGGCCATCTCCCCAGCCCATAAATTTTGCTTTTTAATTATTATAATTCTTAACTATAATGACTTTTTCCAATTTTATTGAAAAAATGTCTGATCATGCCAAACCTTACTCCACCACACACAAGGCACACAGCTTAACTTCAGGATAAGCTGCTGCTTCGGTGTGAAGGGCATGCTGTGCTGTCATGGGCAGCTGTATATAGGGCCAATGCTGGCCTGGAGGGCCAGACCTGTCCTTTCGAAGTCCAGTCGGCCTGGTTTCCAGGTAACACTCTTCAGGGGGTTATGCATGGCCCCCAGGCCTGGAGCTGAAGTTCTTTATTCTCAGAACATCCTCCCATACCTCACCTGATGCTCAGAAAATCCATTCTTAGTTTGGCACCGACATTCTTGGATTTGCCAATGACAGCACACCATTCCCTTATGCCCCTGTACCCCCAAGACCACAGGTACCCCATCAGTCAGACTCCCTTCCTAATCACGGTTAGGATGGATTGGGAATAAGCCCATGACAGTTGAAAACTGACTCACAAATCCGAGCCTTTCTTTAGGGCTGCATATTTTCTGCAGATGTCTTCCCATTGGTTCCAACAGGACTGGTGTCCTGATACAGCATTTGGACAATAAAGTAGAGCACAGGGTAGCACTGTCAGCAAGACCGGATGCACAAAGAAGCTTTGCAATGCATAGGTTGAGCACGGATGGCAGGCAATTTTCATTTTCTTCCCTATGCTTTTCTCTGCTGCACTTTTCACTTTAAGAATTTTTTAAAATAAAAGATATAGGTAATTTTAGTAACTAGAAAAAGGAATGAAACTACTCTAATTTTAGGAGAGAAAAATATCATCTTACAGTTTTCTGTAGGAGAGTGAAGTCCCCGTGAAATGACATTGTGGTTCATTTTCCTCCACCCTAAACCTTCACCAACATCCTAAATGTGAAGCCTCTTGCAAACTGAGGTCAGCTGGGAGCACCTGTAGTTCCGGGCAACAAAGATGCTCTTCATGATATAAGTCTTAAACTCACAAGGCAGAAGGACAGAAAACATGCTACTGAACATCCCAATCAGCTTATGCCAGCTGAAAGCGAGCAACACACTGTGACTTGTCACATATGATCATCTCCGCAGATGCTAAGAAAACCTTCTTCAAATGCTCAAGTGGA